TGTCCTGGGTCTACTGAGAGCCTGAAACAATAGCCCTAACATAGCCCCTAGATCTAGATAGGTAGTAACCCTGAGATCCACTGCTCAAGAGGGAGAACCAAGGACTCTTTAGGACAGGGGTGGGCAATTACTTTGGGCAGAGGACCACTTACTGAGTTTTGGCAAGCCATCAAGGGCCACATGACAGGCAGCCAGGGGCAGATAAATATTAATTTTCTAAATTTTTTAGGGGCCCTGCAGGCTGGATAGAATGGCCTAGTGGGCCACATCTGGCCTGTTGGCCACATTTTGCCCACCGCTGCTTTAGGAGGAGAGGAAAAATGCAGACCACTCACTCCAGCAACCACTAGGTAAAGGGAAAGGGGCTTCTCCTGTTACGTCTGCCTCTTTGTGTGGGATCATGGTGCAGGGACAGGGCTGCAGTGCTGGAGGATCTTGTGTTGTGGTTTGCCCAGAGCTAAAGATTGCCTTAATCTGGCCTTTGAAAGAACCTTTGGCATGCCATAATACTTTAAATAAATGCATGGCTTATTTAGATGTCTGGCAAGCTGAACTTCGTGGGCAGGGGCCAGGTCCATGAAAATCATGTGATCAGGATGGGTGTCAGTTCATATACTCACTCCCTGTGTTCAACACGTACACATCGAGCCCCTCTTCCTGTTGCAGCAGGTTTTTTTGCCCAGTCCCACAAGGATTTGGCTACGTTTGACAGTCAAGGACCCATATGTCCATCCATATTGGAGGTGTTGCCCCATGTGCGTGGGAACAGACCAGGGGTTAAAGTGGGGAAGCTACTCCTCCTCTCCTCAGCTGGGGCCTGATCTTAAGGTCAATGGGCAAACTCCTGTTGACTTCAGCAGGCTTTGGACCAGCATGGTGAGAGCTCCCGGTCTGTTCAACTAACTGTTTCTGCTGGAAAGGAATGGAAAAGGATCTGAATCTGCAGTGACTCTCTGACAGTTTGTGGGTTAGGTGACTCAGAGTCAACAAAGGGCCAGTCCGTGGGCTGAGAATGTCACTAGCTTCAGCCGATGCCTTGTTCCCTGGTGCTCACAATAGTACAAAAGAAGGGGAGATGGCAGTGGGCTGGTGAGGGGGAAGGTTCATGTGGCGCTTTCTACAGCAAATGCCTGGTGCCCTGGCCCCTTCACAAGACATTTCCTGATAACATCTTGCAGCAAACGGTGCTCGAAAAGGGCAACTCTTTCCACTGGCAGCAAGGCAAGATGTGTCCACACAAAGGTGGCCTGGTGGGAGACAGGAGAGCTCCATCAGGCCCTTGGGAGGTTCCTTATCCCACCGTGACAGTGGTGGCGCTGTGCAGTTGTCCTTTAGCCACGTTCCACCTCCAGATCCCAGCACAGAGCAAAGGTATCCCTGTGTGGCTGGAGACACTGTCCTCAGATAACATACAAAACAGCTCGGCGTGAGAGCCATGAAGATTTACATTTGCAGCCAGAAGATCTGCCCTTCGTGCACTCCAGCGGTTGGCATGGAACAGGGACTGAAGAGATAACTTTAGAGATTAACTCCTCGTGAAGTGTGTTGGGAAGGAAAACTGGACTAGTCAGAGGGTTTTATACTGGATCTCAGTGTTGCTGGCCAGTGTTATTCCCCTGCTCTTTCATATAAACATCTCTGAGGTTAGAGCCGGCTCAGTGGTTTCAGAGGGGAGGGAGAAAGAGCAGGCTGGAGCAGAGGGGAAATCCACCACATCACAGCACAGCTGGATCCATAGCAGCATGCTCTGCAAAAATCCCCCATCTTGGCAGAGCTGAGCAGGAGCAGATTCCTTGGTTACGCTATGGCAGGCATTCAAACCCACATCAGAGCTCCCCTCCGCTCCCCACCCCAGCTCCTTTGGGGCCCCCACTTCTGCACCTGGCAGACAAGGGAGCTGACACTGAACCAGTCCCCTCACTGCAGCCTGCACCAGGCAGATGCTGGACTTAGCAGCTAAAGATACACAGTCTCCACAGCGCTTCTTCTGTGACCCACTCTCTTGTTGGCCTTGGAGTCTCCCTTTCCTCTCCCTGTTTTTAAAATCTTTCTTTTCCTCTTTCTGGTGAAGGAGTTAGGGCAACAAGCTACTGCAGGGACCTCCAGCTTCCCGTTGGCTGGGCTGGGCGTGCAAGCTGCCATTTCCTCTTCCAGACAGCACAATATCCTGCCCACATACCTCTGTTCTCCCACTGCCCTCTTTTTACCTGCAAGACCACAAACCAGCAGAAAGCGGCAGGAAGTCAGTTAAAGGGCCAGTCCTGAGACAGACAGCTTAGAAGAGCTAAAGCACGGTAATTCCTAGCTCTGCATTTTTCAACTTCGAAGGACTTTACGAGGGAGGTTGGTGTCACTGTTCCCATTTTCCAGATGAAGAAACTGAGGCAAAAAACCTAAGGTTTATGGCAGAGCAGGGACCAGAACTCAGGTCTCTTGACACTCCAGTTCCTATATTGGGCATTAGGCCACACTGCCTGCTTGCTATCATACCACGCATGTGAGTCCCCTCAAAAAAAGAGTGTGACAGAGCCTCTGCTGTAGCTTCACTAAAATAAATGAAGTCACCATTCCTGCCTGCTTCCTCCTCTGGAATCAGAGATGATCAGCGAGGGAGCAATGAAAAGGGAACAAAAGGTATTACTAGCTCCATTCATACAAACCATTTTAAAGGGTTGGGGAATTAAATTCCCCTTTTTCCCCATCCAAAGGACTGTCACCATTAGGGACTCTGTTGTGTATGACAGACCTCACCGGTTCCATCAGCATCTCGCCAAAATGGCCCCAGGGTGTGAGTATGCAAAATCCTGGGCTTCCTGAGAATCTTCTTCTGCTTGGGTAGCTATGTAGGCTGCGGAGTAGCTTAGGAAAGACAAGCAACAGGAGGCTGGGGTGGGACCTGGAGGAGTACCAGATGTGCCAGGAGATAGCTCTGGCTTCAGGCTTGGCACTGGGATCAAGGCAGCCTGAGGGAGCAGGTGGGAGATTGTAATCAGATCTGTCAAAGGTCATCTCTAATGAGTTACAAATCAATCAGAGCTTTGTGACATAGGAGATGCAGCTTAGAGCAGTTGTTTAGAAAAGAAAAAGGCCCAAAGTGAACTCCTAGATTGATGCTTCCTTTCCCCCTTCCCCTATGCAGCTGAGCATGCACTCTCTCTTCAGCAACAGGCCCCAAAAATGGTGAAGTAAGTGCCATGCACTCACTTATTCTCCCCACACTCTCACAACCTTCCACCACCCCCAGGATCTGATCTTAGGTCCCCACCCAGCCCCTTGTTTCATCAAACTTGTCCCTCCAGGTTGCTCTTTGTGTTCCTGCCCATTCCTCCATATCTTCACCTGCTTAGTGCTTACCACTAAATATTCACCCATCTTCCTTAAGCATCCCTGTTTAACACTAAACTTTCACCCATCCTTCTACCTGGTCCCCAAGCTTCCCTCCATTCCATTCTTCCTACTTATCAGATCTCTAGTGCCCATCCCCTCACTCTGAGTCCCTGTTTTTGCCCATTCCCCTATCTTATCCCTCCCCGCCATCCTGATCCACAACCTGGCTCTGAAACTGTCCCCTATAGTACTACTGATGCCACAAATGTCTAGTCAATGATTTAATCTTCCTCTCTGGTCTGTAGTTCCTGGCTTTCATATCTCTGTAGCTATGTGGAAATACCAGAGAAAAGCTGTTCTTACTGTATCTGCCACACAGCTGAAACCAGGATGTACCAGAAATCTGACCAGAAAGAAAGATCTGTTCTCCCACAAGAGATTTCCTGCATTTGCCCCTCCCCAAGGGATCAGCTAGAGATATAAAGCTAAACCTTCCAGTGGTTGGTACACCACTGACCATCACGTGCTTTCCAGTGATTCTTCCATGGGACCTCTTGGTGCTTTTCTAACTTAAAGCATTTTCCATGAAGTAATAAACCTTGTGTGGCACTTCTCATCCATGCCACTCACTCTTGTTTACAGAGGGGAAAAGGGTCATGATCTGCATCTTAGGCAGCATGGAACAGAAGCACAGAGAGTGACTTGACAAAGATCACTGAGCAGGTTGGTGGTGGAGCCACTTCTGGAACCCAGCTCTTTGGACTTGGTGGCCAGTGTCTGCTCTGCTGGAGCATACTGCCTTAACCTACAGAAAGAAGAGACCGTGGGGGTAATTCTCTCAAAGTGCAAAAAAAGTTTTAATATGATTGAAATATACATATATATATATATACATATATATATATATATATATATACATACATACACACACACACACATACACACACACACACACACACGCATGCACAAACACATACACACGCAAATTCTTGGTTTTGATATTGGAAAGCACCATTAATTCCACAGTACAATACGTCTCTATTAGGCCTTCCAGTGGGCACCAGTGAGTCTCCTGAAGCTTCAATTAGCACCAAGGGACCACCATTTTATTTAGCACCAGTGGGTCTGAAGCTGGCCCATTTAGCACACTCTGACTCCCCCATGCACTTTAGGCCCTGATCAGCTCCCCCTTGAAGGCACTGGTCTGCAGGAAACAAATGGTGAAACTGGAAAGCAAAGGGAATTCAGAGCTCAGGTCTGGAAGTTATTCAGCATTAGAGATTCCTGCTGTTCCCTGAGGAGACACAGGGACGCCACGTACTGTAAATATGCAACATCTGGGATTGCAGTCTGTGGATTCTAGAAAGAGGGA